CAGCTATTCTATAATACCCACAATTTTTGTAATAGATTTGTGCCGTAGGTAGAGGTCTCTAGGTTCTCATTCAGTAAAATTTTGGTAGAAAATAACAATCAGTTAAAAGAATTACGTGAAAAACATTACGGACTCCGTATAATGAGTCCAGTCCATAAATCGCTCGAGTCCGTTGTGTATGGTCAAAACCTTAATGCAGAGTCTGCAATGTTAGCAGGATATATATATATATATATATATATATATATATATATATATATATATATATATATATATATATATACAGTGGTGAGTGCTTTATCGCCCGGCTTTTTAACGTAAGAGATAGAAAACACAGTTACCTTGTGAAATAAAAAGAGATGAAACTCGTAAAGGTGGGAAATAATCGATAGAAACCTATAATTTACATTACATTACATTACCACCGTCGATAGTCTCACACCTTTAGACGTTATTATAGTATTAGAAGTCTTTAAAGTCGCTTTAAAACCAGGCAAAATAGCGGAAAGGATAGAAGATGGATTTTGTGAGAAAGAATGAGATAAAGCTAGTTCTTAGACGTGGCTATTTGACTTCAGTCATAATTATACGGATGACCGCGAAAATATTTTATTTTAATAATTTCTGATGTAAGAATAAATGATTAAATAAATTAAGAATTAAAGTAAAAAACATTAATTAGTAGCGATTTTAAATTATAAATCTTTAAGTTTATTTAATAATAAAAATAACTCAACTGAAATATTTCACTAAACTAAAGGTAGGTATGTTCTGTGCGAAAACATTAATTGTATGTGGAGTTGGTGTAATTATTAGACACGTAGTCTACTGACAAGAAGATTGGGGTTCAATTCCCACCAAGGATAAAATTTTTGTTTTACTCAATCAAAAAAATAATAGAAAATATTATACATATTAGGTAACAAGTTTTCAAAAACTCATTATTTACAATTTATTTTTATTCCAATGTTATAAAACGGAAATACAAAATAATTCAAATTCAAAAAGATATTTATGTGTAACTTTAAACACTTCTAATACTAGTAACGACTGACATAAATGTTTAGTGATTCAAATCAAAACGATCTCTGCATAATTTCAAATTATTAAAAAAAAAAGAAAACCACATATGGGTTTTGAACTCTAATCGTCTGCGTCGCAGTGTCGAATTCTTACCACTAATCCACAAAGGACTGATGTTTATTTCCGTGACAAGAGTGTATGAAACTCCTCAAATCATAGAAATTATTTTTGGTTATTAATTTAAAACCTTAGATTAAATATTCACTAATAATTAATTTATTGTATTCACATTTTTGCTTTTAATTGTGGTCAATCATTTTTTACTTTATGCAAATTTAAAAAAATGTCACTGAAATACGTTACGCATACGACGTCACAAATAATAATTATGACCGAGGTGATTTAACTGAACTAACGTCTAAAGGTGTGAGACTATCGATAGTGTTAATGCAATGTAATGTAAATTATAGGTTTCTATCGATTATTTCCCACCTCTACGAGTTTCATCTCTTTTTATTTCACAAGGTAACTGTGTTTTCTATCTCTTACGTTAAAAAGCCGGTTGATAAAGCACTCACCACTGTATATATATATATATATATATATATATATATATATATATATATATATATATATATATATATATATAAATATATATAAATATATAGAAATAGAAAAGGATAATGCGAGTGAATAATAAAAGAACAAATAATGGCATGTCTCGCAAAACAAAAAACCAAAAATGGTATACAGATTGAACGAAACAAATTCGGAACATATTAATATAATGTATTTCGGCTCAATCCTGCTGTAGCTGGTTGGCCAACAAAAGATTGTCAAATAATTATATTATAAAAAATCCCATACTTCAGCGGGCTGCTGGATTCTGAACTCATAAAAATTGAAAGCTACACATAAATCTACGATTTTATTATGCTGTCAAACCAGTTATAGTCCAGGAAAGGTAGCATTTCACCTCGCAATTTTTTCCTGCGGCGTGGATTGACTTGAAATTTAACAGAAGGTAGGTAATAGCCTAAGGATCAAAATCTATATCGAACCAAAGTGCACCAAAGCCTAGGGGGTGGTTGCCACCCCATCTCCGGGGTGAAATTTTTTTTTACGTTTTAACTACAGGTTTCGATTAGAAAAGTGATTCTAAACAAAAAATGTGCTATACATTTTTTTAATAAAATGAAATTTTTCAAGTTATTCGCGATTGAAAGTAACAACTTTTAGACGAAAAAATCCACGTTTTTAATCGATTTTTCGCAAATAACTCGAAAATGGTGCATTTTATCAAAAAAATTGTAGAGAACAAATTTGTAGCTTTTAAAAAGACAAATACAATTAAAAATACAATATCAATTTTCAGCGGTTTTCTTCAAATGCCAAATTTGAAAGATTCAAAGTCAAATATCGGGAAAATGATGCATTTTTGGAAGAAAACTCACAAAACCTTTTTTAAAGAGCATAAATAGACCTATTATAAAAAAATAAGGTGAATACCTCATTTTTTACGAAAAAATCGAGGAAAACAACACCCTAACCACCCCCATAATTAACATCGATCTTCACCCTTCTGCAATTCCCTTTGTAGATGTATTGTTAATACGTCCAAGAAGTTTGACCCATTAAAAATGCTTAGTTTTAGAAAAAGTACAGCTTAAAGCGAGAAACGATTTACAATTTCATATTTTTTACCCTTCTTTTTTTAAATATGCCCGAAAATACTGAATATATGAAAAAGATAAAAATTACCAAATTGTAGCTTTTTTAATGACTAAAATTACACTTTATTTAGATTTGTTGTGCAGTGAATATTTGGCGAGATATAGCCGTTTAAAGCATCAATTTACGATCAAGCACCATCTTTTTCGAGCCCTTTAAACCCACCCCATTTAAAAACCAAGGGTTCCAAAAAGATTTAATTTACAGATTCTTGTAGCTAATAAAAACCTCTACAAATCGTTTTTGAAGAAACACTCTATCGTTAAAAATTAAAGGAAATACGTTAAAAAACCAGTTAATTTTTTTCCGGAAAATTTCATTAGTATAGTACAGTACATTTCGGAGCATAATAATCTACAAAACCGATATATTAGATAGTGGGGCGTTATACATTCGAAATTTTAAGCGTTCTTATTTTGAAATCCCATACAACAGAATAAAACATCTGCTCATATGTCTATGGCTTGGCAATGAAAATATCAGAGCAACAGATTGGGGATGGTATTCCAAAGATGGTTTGTTATTACCCGTACGCATGAACAAACAACCTGCACCCGATAAATTTTTGAAAATTATTTTTTGCCAATGCAAAAAAAGATGCGGCGTTTCATATGGGTGCAGAAAAGTTGGTTTATACTGTAACTCTACTTGTTCTGGGTGCTCAGGTGAAGGGTGCAATAACAGTCCACCAATAATTGAAGAAGATGAGGATGACATAGATCACGATGAAGATGTAATTGATGGCGAATAAAATTAATATTATAATTGTTTTACCTATAAATGTAAATATTTTCAACTATTTATGTAAATGTATAAGAATATATGGTGCCTTTTTATGTTGATAATTTTTTTTGTATTTAATTCTACTTTTTTCAATTTATATCTTATAAATTAGTTTATAAAAACTGCAATGTTGTAAAGGGTGATTTTCAAAAGTTGAAAAGTTGCAAAATTTTGGCAAAAAATTGTTTTCACCTATAGCACTCATAACAATTGATTTTTAAGGGTTGAAAATATATGAATTTGTATTTTAAAGTTTAAAAAACTCACTATTTAACTAATCCAAACCAAATTTCACTCATCTTAAGATTTGTAATATTATTTTACAATTTTTTAAAATTAAGGGTAGTTTTCACCCCTAAGAACAATCAGGGTTCATCGGCATGACATAAACTATAAAGCAGAGGGTGAGTTGAGCTTAATTCCAAATTTTTATGCAAATCGTTCCAAGGTGAAATCATTTTCTTCGCATTACTAATTTTTTTATATTAATCTCTAATAAGGGTCGTTTTTTAAGGGTTGAAATATGATGGAACTTTATTCAAAAGCACGAAACTATCATTATTTAATTAATTCAAACCAAATTTTACCCATATTCAGGTTTAATATGTTATTTTATAATTTTTGACAATTAGGGGTAGTTCTCACCCCTAAGAACAATCAGGGTTCGTCGACATGACATAAACTATAAAGCAGCGGGTGAATTGAGCTTAAATCCAAATTTTTATCCAAATCGATCCAAGGCGAAATCATTTTATTAGAATTAGTAATTTTTTACATTAATCTCTAACAAGGGTTGCTTTTTAAGGGTTGAAATATGATGGAACTCTATTCAAAAGTATAAAATAATCATTATTTAACTAATTCAAACCAAATCTTACCCATATTAAGGTTTAGTATGTTATTTTATAATTTTTGACAATTAGGGGTAGTTTTCACCCCTAAAACCCTTCAGCGTACTTCGGTTCGATATAGATTTTGATCCTCGGGCTATTACCTACCTTCTGCTAAAATTTCAACTGGATACATGCAGGACGAAAACATTGCGAGGTTTTAACTTTTTTCGAGCTTCATTTCCTGAACTATTATCGCCTCCTTAGACAAACCCGTCTTACGCAAACAACTTTGTTGCGAGACAGATAGTTGAACGATATTTTATACAATGTCTATACCCAGGTGTGGATTTATTTTTGTCCAAGTTTTATATTGGTCCACTATTTTAAATGCAGTTCAAACGTATTAAATTGTATGTTCCGTTTTAATTTGGTTCAATCTGTATACCAAAAAACCTCTCATAAATATATATATATATATATATATATATATATATATATATATATATATATATATATATATATATATTATTTATTACATTATATTTTTTTCCTTTCTTTCAACCCCTTCTTCTACATACATAAATATGAACACTTGACAAGGAAAAGTTTGACATGCAAAGTTATACTGACCTTTATCATCGTTATGGACAAGTTCAGATAACCGAGCCATAAGTTTAGCCATCCGTTGTGCTGCAGCTATGAGATCGTTGTCTTTTGCGGACCACTGTCTAACTTCTCTGTGTAAATTATGTGCTGCAACCTAAATATTAAAAAATAATTAATACTTTATTATTTATTATAAATATATATAATAGATATAAAAATAATAATAAATATAAAAATATATTTATTATAATAGATTTTTATTACCTTCGTACCCTAAACGGTACATTCAGGACTTGATTATGTATGCATTTATATAGTTACTGTTTTGTTTGGATAATAAGCATTATCTAATTCCAAGAGTTGTGGGAGCATATTTCAATTTTAATAAAAGAATATATGACAGATAAAAACATATATGAAAAATATTATAACTCAAAAATATTGGCAATACAATTTTAAAGTCATCTTCTTTAAAATGTATAATATACTCGTATGAATTTTCAATATGAATGAGTCAGATACAATTAAATTATTAGAATTTTTCACCACGCGAGAAAAGTAAAATTTCTATATTTTATTAATGTTTTGTATTTTGAGAACGATTTCCGAAGTGGAAATTCAAACGTCAAATAAATTTATTTTAAAATAAAATTGTAGATTACTCCTAATAAAAATAGTAAATTCCATTAAGATTCCACAACAAAATAGCTTCAGAACAACATTAAAAATGCGATCTAGACAAATATATAGGTTGGCAAATAAACTATAGATTAGAAATAAACTAGATGATAAAATATGTAATTATAGGTGATAAATATCTAATCAAATAATCAAAATTACATGAAAATCATTGTCCACACTAGATAGAAATGTATCATGTTGCCTTTAGTTGTGGTTTATATAACCACGACCACAATCACCCATTTAATTGAGGACACTCTGAAGCTTACTAGAACATTAAACCACTCACCATGGATATTTAAAATGAAATTCTAAGCCTCTCATAGACACACTGACAATTTCAAGATCAAATTGTTCCAACCGACAGGTCCAGGTGCAAATTTTATTCTTTAACTGCCGTCTCCCAATCGAAGGTTGAATATCATCATCACTATCTTTAATCTATCTACCGCTGTTCTGAAGAATTTTATTGAATTGCATCTAAAACAGTCCCTTAGACTGTTCAACCATGACACTGTTCTTCCTATACTCCTTCCTCCTATTATCTTACCCTGTATTATCAATCTTAGCATTTCATATCGCTATCCCCTCATTACGTGTCGAAGATATTGTAACTTTTTTATTTTCATTGCGTTTATTATTTGTATTCTTTACCCATTTTGCACAATACTTCCGTATTCGTTACTTCTGTGTCCATGCTATTCTAAACATTCTTTTGTAACACAGCATTTCAAATGACTGTAGCTTAATTATGTTTTCTTGCTTCAGTGTCCCGTTTTCTAGTCCATATTGTAGTATCGGAAACATGTAATTTAGAGCTCTTACTCTCAGATCTAATCTAAAGTATTTATTGCAGATAATTGTTTTCATTCTTACAAACACATATCTTGCTATTTCTATTCGGGCCCTTATTTCTGTCGTTTGATCATTATTTTTTGAAATCCAGGTCCCAGATATTTTTATTTTTCAACCCTTTTATCTGTACATCTCCCAAATATATTTTTGTTTGTACATTCGTTTTCTTTGTTATTAACATGTAGTTAGTGACGGGAATTTCGGGTCATCTTTGAGATTCGGGTCACCGGTTCTGGTTCACTTAAGAGAACCGGATCACTTTGACGGGTCACGGGTCAGTCGGGTCAGTACAGATCATTATGCAAAACAAATCTATAATTTTAGCGGTGGGTGGATAATCGAGTGTAAGAGCATTATGTTATTATGTAGTTGTTATTTAATCTTACAAGTAAATGTTATGGCAACCAAAAATTTACTTTGATCTATTAAATTTTACCTAATTAAACTTAAAATTCAAATTTAATTTTTTTAAGCTAATTATATATCATCAACTAAACGTTTCTTTAAGCATGCTAATTTAAGCATACCTATCTAAGGTCTCTATAATGTACAAAGTAAAAAAGATCTTGTAGGTCTTCTACTAAATTATTATTATTATGCAATCAATAATACGCCATGCCATAAAATATTTCGGGGAATACCATAAATGTTACTTTCTCTGAACAAACACCATTGTGACCAAAAATACAAGAAATACAAAAAAATATAATAACCAAAATATTTACGTGGAAAGCCAACAAATATAAACATATTTTTTGCCTTTCGGTAAACTCAGCCATTTATTTTATATAGTTTTTAATTAGTATTTTACACCGTATAATTATCAGTAAACAGTTCAGGATTCACGTTCCTTTCAAACGAGTAAGACCGCAAAATATCGGAAAAGATTCAGTTCTGTTTATAAGAGCTTGGGATTCAGTGTTCAACTGACTCACTGATTCCTCGCTTTCGCTTAGAACTACATCATTCAATCATTCTGCGCGTCATATCTGTTTGTTACTGACCCGTGATCCGTTAGATTTAATTTTGAGATTCGGGTCAGTTGGATCTTTCTGAAGATTCGGCTCATTGAATCGGGTCACTTCTGATTTGCACATCACTACATGTAGTCTTTTTTAGACTCATTTTTAGTCTATATTTTTCACAGTAACTGTTTGTCTTGGTTAGGAGTGCATGGAATTGTTAAGCAGAGCTTGCCATGATCACGGTGTCATCTGCATATCTTATATCTTTCAGACAGTAATGCTTCTACAAAAATGAATTCACGATATATATTGAATAATTATTATTCTTACGTCCCTTTCCTCTATGTTTTTTGTCTTTAGAATTTGGACTAATTTATTATATCTTACTTTGTCAAATGCATTTTCAAAATCATCGTAACAAACTTGCACATCCACATTCATATTCTTGCATTTTTGAGTTATCACATTAAAAGCAAATAACGCCTCTCTGGTTCCTAATCCGTTTCTGAATCCAGTAAGTATTATCTATTCCTTCTTCCAGTTTTATATATATATATATATATATATATATATATATATATATATATATATATATATATATATATATATATAACCATTATTATATTACTTTCAAGAATAATTTGAGAACATGATTTATTAATGATATTGTTCTGTATTCACTGCGGTTTTTATCGTTTGTATTTTTAGGTTTAGCGCAAAAGGTGGACAGTACCCATTGTTTCGGTATATGTCCTGTTTTGTATATTCTGTTAAATAAGTCCATTATACTGTCTAAGGTTTCATCATTTATGCATTTTAAGCTTTCTATTGGAATTTGGTCTTGACCTATTGCTTTGACATTTTTTAATGTCATTTTAATTTCCTCTTTTAATATCCTTAAAACCACGCCATTTTATACTTCTACTTCCATCTGTTCTGTTCTATTGTCTTTAAACAATTCATTGATGTATTCTGTCCATCTCTTTCATTTTTCATTGGTATTCAACACTAGTTTCCCATTTGTATCTTTAGTATAACGGGTTTTCTTTTTCTATTGTTGTGAGTTAATTCTTTATTTTTTATTGTGTATTCTAAAACTATCATGCCATTTCTGATATTCTTTTATTTCTGAGCATTGTGCTTTAAATAATTATTCTTTAGCTTGCTTAGTTTTGTATTTTATTTGTTTATCCACTTTTTGTACATCTGATTATCTTTGTTTTTATGTTGACGTTTTTCTTCCATTAAATCTAAAATGTCCTCCATCATCTATTGTTTCTTTTTGTATTTGGTTGGTGCCAGAATTTCTTTTTGACTTTTATTTATTTCTGTCTATTGATAACCATTGTGTATCTGTTTCACTATTGTGAAAATTGTGCTTTAACATTCAATAATCGATTATTGATTTCATCTGTCAGGAGTTGTCTTGAGTGCCTTCCTTAATTTACTTGTATCTAAGTGTGCATCTGTTATGTTTCATTTTATTATTTTCATTTTGGACCTAATTTGTCTGATCTTATATCCGCACTCCGGTATGTTTCGCTGATATAATTGCGTTTTTGTATCTTTGTCTAAGTATCACATAGTCAATACGGTTTCTTAAAATTCTCTCTTCTTCATCTTCTGGTGACTTCCAGATGTACATAGTCTTCTCTTTGGCAGTTTAAAGAATGTATTTGCTAGTATTATACTATATATTATTTTATATGTTTTATATTCTGACATGAGAGGTCTTCAATTTGAAGGTAACCGTATGCCGTCATCACTTTTATTGGGACAAGTTGATCTTTTTTTAATTTATATCGTTTCTCGGATAATTCTTGGTTTATAAAAAGGGATGAGGAGTATGGTTCTGGAGTTTTCAAAATCAATTTTTTGACCTGTATGAAGATGGTGTTGACCTAGAGCTGAAATTGAGTTGGAATTGAGAACAGAAATGGAATGCTCATAAATCCTATTTTGTATTCTACGATTTGTTTGGCCTATATAGGATCGGAGGCAGTCTGCACAAGGAATTTTATAAACTCCGTGTTGTTCATTTGGAATATTGTCTTTAATTGATCGGACGAGATGAAAGTTATTGTTGTGGGTTAAATATTGCCTTTATTCCTCTTGATTTAAGAATTGTGTACACACAGAAGTACATAAACCCAGTATTCCTCTACGTTCCATTGTCAGAGCATACAACTGCCCTACACAACAACCATTGGCCAAAACTCTACAAACTCTCGCCGAAAATGCTTCATCCGTCATCAAAAATTCTTTTCATTTCGTCGAACTTCTTAAACAATACCCTATCTCATCGTCAGACATTCGAGTGAGTTTCGATATTGTTTCACTCTTTACAAATATTTCTATAGACGAAACTCTGAAAACTGAATATTGTTTCACTCTTTACAAATATTTCTATAAACATTCTGAAAACTAAATACAATATCCAGCAAAACCACTTATCTCTCATTAAATATTGTATGAATAACACTTATTTCATCTTCCAAAATCAATTTTACTGAAAAATAAATGGTGCCCCAATGTGCCATCTCTAGTAATTGCCAATCTCTTCATGGAAGACTTCGAGACACGAGCACTATCCACGTCATTTGGCCCCTTGGCAGGGATACTTTGATGCCTTTTCAAACCCGTCTGAATGGTATATATCCTAGTATCTAGTTCACGATAATGGTGGACATTGATTCATCCCTACCGTTTCTCAACGTTATTATAAAGAAAAACCAATCTAAGGTTTTCATCACTCTGTTTATCAAAGACCCACCCATACTAATCGTTAGTTGCATGCCAACTATCATCATCCCCCTTCACAAATTAATTCAGTCATTAATACGCTTTGTTTCCAGATCAATACGCCTTTGC